GCATGATCATAGCCCACTGAGACTATAGCTCCTGAGTAGCTGGGACTACAGGTGCATGCTACCATGCCTGGCTAATTTATTTTTTGAAGAAACAGAGTCTTGCTATGTTACCCAGGGTGGTCTCAAACTTACGGCCTCAAGCAATCCTCCCAGGCCTTGGCTTCCCAAAGTGCTAGGATTACAGACAGGAGCCACTGTGCCTAGCCTAAAAATTCCTTCTTTGGATGTAAAGCAAAGCAACCAGAACTCCCATAATTGCTGATAGAAAGGCATTTTTAAATATGGAAAGCAATTAAAGAGAATTGTTCAATTCATACCAATGTATGTTTACATAAGGCTTTATATGGCAGCATAGCAGAGGGAGTAAAAGCATGATTTTTGGCATTAGATATAACTTGATTTCAGTCTCTGTTGTGCCTCATACTAGCTCTTAGACATTGAGCCAATTACTCTTATCTCTAAGCTAATACCTCGGAGGATTTGTTGTGAGGATTACATGGGATACCAGTGAAAAGTGCTTAACATTGCCCTGCAGCATAATGCTACAGAAAAAAATAGGCTCGGAAGACTAGTCAGTGAAAGGTAGAAGAAAGCACAAGAAAGTGACAACACATTTTTAAAAAACTTTTTGGATATAATTATTTAGGTGCTAGATGTTTTTATTACATGGAAAATAAATAGTTATTATAACTGAAATAATTTCATATTTATAAAAAGTTGTAAGAATTGCATAAGGAACACTCATGTTCTCTTTATGAAGATTTGCCTTTTGTTAATAATTTATGCCTCTTTTCATTATCATTTGTGTACACTGTATGTGTGTGTCTATGTATTTTTTTTTTTCCTCAGCTGTTTGAAAATAAGTTACATATGCCATGTTTCCTTATCCTTTTTTTTGGAGACAGAGTCTAGCCCTGTCGCCCTGGCTAGAGCGCAGTGGTACCGTCATAGCTCACTACACCTCAAACTCCTGGGCTCAAGTGATCCTGCTGCCTCAGCCTCCAGAGTAGCTGGGACTACAGGCACACAACTCCCAACTAATTTTTCTGTTTTTAGTAGAGACGGGGGTCTTGCTCTTCCTCACGCTGGTCTCGAACTCCTGAACTCAAGTGATCCTCCTGCCTCGGCTTCCCCAGGTGCTAGGATTATAGGCATGAGCCACCGCACCCGGCCTCTGTTTCTTTTTGTGATGATAAACACATATATGTATGTTTTCTTATTTTCCATGTTCCCTACACAAAATACCATATATGCCCAAAAGAATCTTTGCTTTTTTTTCCACTTAATAATGTCTTCTAGAAATCACTCCATGTCATTTGATAGATAGCCTTCTCATTCTTTTTGCAGCTGTATCCCTTGTGGTTATGTATCATAGTTTTTCAACCAATATTCTTAGCAGAATTTTTAAGGAAACATTGACAAATTGTTGAAAATGATTAAGAAATGGAACAAAATACAAATATGGTTTATCATTAGTATATCCTATATTTAATTATATAATCAAATAAACTGTAAAGTTTTAAAGTTTTTACTCAAGAAAATGAGGATCTTTATTATAAGCCTCCAGCATAATATCAACTCATGACCTATGGCGTTGGTTATATTCTTTTTATTTAATTTTAACTTTTTTGCCATCTAGTAGTTTATTGCCATCTATTAGTTATTAATATAATAGAGAAGAAAGGTATGAATGAGGAAAAATATATATTCATTCTCAGTCTTTTATATTCCACATGAAGGTTAGTAATTTAATTTGATTTAAAATTTACCAAAACTAGAGAGGCAGCTTTGCAACTTCTAGTACTGTCACTGAGAAAAAGTCAAATGACAGTAGTACGATGCAGCAGCAGCAAAAGAATAAGGGTAATTCAGAATTGGATAAATATTTGAATGATGAAGTGTTAATTGTGTTACAAGGGGTTTTTTTTGTTGTTGTTTTTTGAGACAAAATCTCACTTCGTTGACATGAGGCAGTGGCAGGATCATAGCTCATTGCAACGTCAAACTCCTGGGGCTCAAGTCATCCTCCTGCCTCAGCCTCCCCAAGTAGCTGGGACTACTACAGGCACACACCACCACGCCCAGTTAGTTTTTTCTACTTTTTATTAGCGACAGGGGTCTTGCTCTTGCTCGAGCTGGTCTTGAACTCCTGAGCTCAGGTGATCCCCTTGCTTTGTCCCCTTAGAGTGCTAGGATTACAGAGGTGAGCCATGGCACCTGGCCTATGTTATGTTATTATCTTCTTCTCTAGTACTGATTGTTCAATTCTGGGATAACTTTGCATTTCTCAACTCTGGCAAATGTAAGTCTTATATTAAACAGTAATTTGTGAAGTACTTTAGGATTAATAAAGACTTGATGTGGGGAAAATTGAGAGTCATGTTTAACGAAAATATTTGCAACATAATATCTGAAATTAGGTAAATAATTTCAGGTATAATGAAAGAAAGGTAAAGCTATGAAGACATGAGTTTTTTATTACAGTTAATGGAAATTGGAAATTTAGTTTAAAAGGGAGTATATCAGGCCAGGCATGGTGGCTCACACCCGTAATCCTAGCGCTCTGGGAGGCCGAGGTGGGTGGATCGTTTGAGCTGAGGAGTTTGAGACCAGCCTGAGCAAGAGTGAGACCCCGTCTCTACTAAAAAAATAAAATTAGCTGAACAACTAAAAATATATAGAAAAAATTAGCCGGTCATGGTGGTGCATGCCTGTAGTCCCAGCTACTCGGGAGGCTGAGGCAGAAGGATTGCTTGAGCCCAGGAGTTGGAGGTTGCTATGAGTTAGGCTGATGCCATGGCACTCTAGCCAGGACAACAGAGTGAGACTCTGTCTCAAAAAAATAAAATAAAAGAGAGTATATCTAAATTGTAAACATGTAAAATTTAACATCATATTTTGGGAAACAGTGACAGTATTTTATCAAAAATTAATCTCAAGAAAAATCAGTTTCTAAGATATTTGCATATTATGAAAGACAACTTCTCTTAAATTTGTCTTTGGAATTTATTCTTGCTAATGGACTTGTGACAAGCCTTAAATAGCCTTGTGACAAGGCTATTTATGTAAGAGAGCATACCATCATGCCATTTTTTTGTTTGTTTGAGTCAATTTTTTCCACTATGTGATACTAGTTGAACCATACTTGATGATTATTCCTAATTCCTTTTAGGAATAATTCCAGGCAAGCATGTTTAACTAGGGAAGACCCTGGTGGTGCCAGGGAAATAGCACTAGAAGAAGAATCAAGAGACCATGGTTTTGAAAACCACTGTGGTTTTTTTTTTTTTTTTTTTGAGATGGGGTTTCATTATGTTGCCCAGGCTGGATTCAAACTCCTGGGCTCAAGCAGTACTCCCCTCAGTCTCTGGAGTAGATGGGATTACAGGCACACACCACCATGGCCAGCAATCTTTTCTAATATTTTT